GGTCGCATCTTGAGGACTTTCTCGCACGCATCTCTTTCTCTCATTTCGCACGAAAGGAGCATTCCTAATTCCAGATATATACCGTCATACTCCTCCGTGCGAAAAGCCTCTTTTATCTCTCCCTCTTCAAAATTGTCGTCCTCTCCTTCGTGAACTACATTCTCATTCTCACCTTGCCGCTGATCCCCAATCCTTGCCACCTCGTCTTGAAGCAGAGCATTTGCCAAGAGGTATATCCCACCTATCGACCTCTCGTGCCCTTCTACCTGTTGCGCCCCATTTTCCATTGTGAGTAGGTCTTTGTGCAACTGGTATTTGTCTGCTAAGGCCAGATCCATGATCCACGGCACGTTTGGCATCCCCCACGAGTCCTCTTCGATGAAAGGCTTAAAGACCAGGTCTGGCCGTCGAGAGGCACACAGGTTGTCCAGGAGTAACGTAGTTACCCACGACCATCGACCAGGAGTTGATGTGAAGTCTCACATCCTCCGCAGTGTCCAGAAACCCGTCGAATGGCGGAGTATCATCGATTACTCCTTGATTATTTTTGTCCCTGTCGACTCGACTCAATCCGTCTGCTCTATTCTTATTTCCTGGAATTCGCTCTAATTCAAAATCGAACATCCAGATGTATGTTAACCACCTGGCGATAGTCGGGTCTGAAGGAGCGAAATTCTTGAGAGAACCGGCTAGAGCAGTTGGGTCCACCCTCAACACGAACCTACTGCCGAAGAGGTAGTTTCTAAAGATCCTTAAGCAATGGAGAACCGCAAAGGTTTCGCGCTTAAACTGATAGTAATTTCTCTCAGTTGTGTTAAGCGTGCGACTTTCAAACCTTAGTGGCCGCTCCTCTCCGTTAAGGTCTTGCTGAATCAACACACCTCCTAGCGCAGTTGGCCCTGTATCAGTCTCTACAATAAAAGGTCTGGTCATTACCGATGAGTGGTCCGGTACTCCCAGTACTAGACCCCCTTCTTCGAATTCGTTCTTTAGGCCCTTTATTACCAACTCCTGCTTATCTCCCCACTCCCAGTCTTGTCCTTGGCGCACAAGCTTTCGTAGTTGTTCAGTCTTTGCTGCAAACCCTTTTATGAAGATCCTCCAGAACCCACATGTCCCGAGGAAACTTCTCACCTCCGTCATAGTCTCGAATGTGGTTGGCCATTCGAGAATCTTATTGGTTTTCTTAGTGTCTGGTCGACGACCCCTCTCGTCACACACAAACCCCAAGATGGTGGCCCCGCTCATGCAGTGCCTCAATTTAGACCCACTTGCAGTAAGGTTATGCTCCTTTAGCAAGTCTACGACCCTGCACAAGTCTTGCACATGGTTCCAGACAAAGCGTCTAATCCCTGGCATTACCTCCTGCTCGTTCTTCTCTTTAGGCCCTTTTACGGCCAAATCATCAATGTAAGGCTGAGTAATGTGAGGGCTTACTGGCTGCATTGCCCTCACCATGTGCCTCTGGACCATGGCGACTGCATTTGTCCATCCCTGCGGTGCGACATTCATATGAATTAACCCTCGAGGGGTATGCATTGCCGTCATCGGCCTGTCAGAGGGGTAAACAGGAAACTGGTCGTAACCAAAATATAAGTCTATGAGAGATATGATGGCTCTCCCAGCGCATGCCTCTGAAACCGCATCTGCGTTAGGGAGACCACCTGCATCTCTCACAGTTACAGCATTCAGGCGCTGCAAATCCTGTACCCACCTCAAAGTCCCGTTTGGTTTGACGAAACAAAACCAAGGGGATGCATATGGCCCACTCGAGTAGTCTTATACGTGCGTACAAATTTTTTCATCAAGGTAGCTAACTACCTTTTCTTCATCAGCACGATTAGGATACCGCGCACTCCACAAGTTCCATAGCTCGTGGGGAACGGTATGTATCCTAATCATCGGGATTCTATCCACGTCCAGACGGCCCCGTTCATCATCATTGAAGGCATATGCAGTATGCCTTCCTCTTATGGTTTCCACCATAAGCTTCTCCTCTTGCGCCGTAAGGAAGCTGGACTCCCCTATAATCAGCGTCTTTTCTGTCTCAGGAGTGATACGACATGGCCCATTCTGTTCGTCCTCTCGCATCTGCCGTATCAACTCTCGTTCCCACTCGTAATAAACTTCTTGTTTCTCAGTCACGAGCACAGGAACAGGGCGGCATTTTTTATCTACTCTTTTGTACCGCCTTTGTGACCCTTGCTTGAGCCCACCCCTAAAAAAGGCCGAGTTGCACTCAGGGGTTGGGCTCCAGCCGATCCTCCTCTCTTTCCGGGCGTCTGATATACCAGCTCCACCTCTCCTTCACCCATCTGTTCCATCACCTTTTCTCTCAAGGCCTCTACGGCCTCCATGTCTGCCATCCCATAGGTTGACACTTTGTCCATAGCATCGCCTATATTGGTCAGGCTAAGAGTCAGTGCTTCCGGATTCCTTTCTTCTTCAAACTCATCTCCTCCTAGCCTCTTCCTTTCT